CGGAGGGGGGGGGGCTCCTCGGGAGTGGGTCTGGAGCGCCCTGGCTGCCAGCCCCACCCCCAAGGACTATAGAATAGTCGAGTAACCATTAAGAATTCGTGAGGTTAATCGACTATTCAATGAACTGATATTTAACATCTCTAGTCTGATTCCCAGCTCTGCCACCGATTCCTCATGCAACCTTGGGCAAGTCACTTGCTTACCCAGGCCTCAGTTTCCTCATCTACACAAAGGGGATAACCCTCCTCCTTTTGTAGGCAGTGACTGGAAACTGGTTGGGCCAAGGGTCTGTCTCTCAATTTGGGCCTCTGGAGCCTGTCCGTTGCCTCCGGCTCAGGGATGGGTTATCAACAACAGGGCTCAAACTTTCCTCCTACTCCCTGCACTGGACTTCCCCTGGGTTTAGTGCCACTCACCAGCCCTCCCTGACAGCCCCTGCTGTCCCAGCAGGAGTTGGGGATTTTCCTCTGTAGTCAGGATCCCTCCTGGCGGCTGCTAAGCACTGCGGGATCGGGGTAAATCATTTACCCGGGTGCCCAGGTTAATTGGCCTTGTTTGCCTGGGGTTAGCCTCCTCCCCTCCTTCAAAAAGCCCTGGCTCTTGCAACAGAGCCCCGGGAATCCAGCCAGCAGATCCCTGCCATTAGCCAGGGGGGGCTAACTGGCTCCTTTCCTCCTTTCCCACGTCCCAAAAGAGATCCTGGCCCCCCTCCGAGGCAGACGGGCACAGACAGACAGCAAGACAAGCCAGATTTTAAAGGACATTCAGCCACCTCACCCTGAGACTTAAGGAACTGCAAAAACTGGGGCCTTGAAATCTATTTTGACAAAGGGAGGGAGGGGAAATTGAGGCACAGAGAGGGGAAACTGAGGCACATGTCACAACTCACCCAAGATCACCCAGCAGGTCACTGGCAGATTGGTGGAGTGGGGTGTGTGTGTCTATTTCCGGCTCTCCTGAGGCCAGCCCAGCGCTAGATCCACTCCTCTCCTGTATCCTCTGTCAAGAGTTTTTCATGGGTCACATGACGCGGATTCCCCCAGAGGCTTTTTTTCCAGCCGCCCTGCCACTGCTGATCACACGTTGACCTTTGTGCCAGGGAGCAAAGAGCCCAGGATTAGCCGGGAGGTGGGATGGCCCCGGTGTGGGACGGGTTTCCCCAGACCTGGATGTGCAGGAGGCCATGGGACAGGACCGAGGGACTTGGCGGAGCCGTGCGGAGAGGACATCTAGGAAGTGGGGGTGAAAAATCCCCATCGGGGAGGGGAACTGCCGGAGTGGTGGGGGGTGGGGCTCGTCCAGAGCCTGCCTCACCCCACTGGAGTCCATGGGGCCGGGTGCTCTTGCAGCTTCGGGTGGGGGGTAGGAGGCAGGCCAGCCCATCCCGCGGCAGCAGCCCCCAGGAACTTGCTGTGCTGACGGGGTGGCGGTGGG